CTATCTGAGCCACAAGAGAAGCCAAGAATACTGGAGTGGGTAGCTTATCCCTTCTCCAGGGGATCTTCCTGACCCAGGAATTGAACTGGGGTCTCCTGAAATGCAGGGAGATTCTTTACCTGCTGAGCTTCTATCAAAGTTCTTAAATGCTGTTTGTAGCCATCAGCAGTACATCAGATTTTTTTTTCCTGCACTTGGAGAAACAGAAACCAAATGAACAACAAAAACAGTTCTTCTGTGGATCTGACATCATAATCTGTGAGTTTCACAATGAGACAAGAATGATTTAACTTTGATGGTGACTGATAGAGACACTAATGGCAACTGTTTGGTTAGTCTCTCATGTATGAGAGGATGGCAAAAAGAGGGAGATTGTTAAATTAATTATACAAGGATGCTGTTAAGTGGGTGTGGATTTAGTGCCATCGGGGCCTATGTCAGCAAGTCAGAGTCTAAGTCTGTAAATGTCTCATGGTCACAAAATCAAAAACTCCAAAGGCTGAGCAATCACAAACAACTAGGCTTTGAGCTATTAGCCGAACAGTGACTGCGTTACTTTGCTTCTGTCTCTTCTTTATAAGCGCCTCTGCCCTTGGGACTTTCCTGGTAGTTCAGTGGTTAATAAGACTTCACCTTCTGGTATAGGAGGTGTGGGGTTTATCCCTGGGCATTAAGATCCCATATGCCTCATGTCCAGAAAAACCAAAAGGTAAAACAGAAGTAACACTGTAACAAATTCAATAAAGCCTTTAAAAACAGTCCACAGTAAAAAAAAAATCTTCTAAAAAAAAAATTGTCTCCACAAACTCATGTTGGTGGAGCACTCCTAACCACTTCTGGATTGATGCTGCCTGATTCAAATCAGTTTTGCTCAAATAAACTCCTAAAATTAAAAAGAAAAATCATCTCCTTAAAATAAATTATTGGGTTGAAAGTAATGAATTTTTTTTCATTTATTTTCCCCCTGATTATCAAGGTAAGATAAGTTTATCATAGTCAAGTAAAATATAATGAAACTTGGAAGGAAAAAATAGTCTTTCAGAGTCTTCCACCTGGGGGCAACTCATGTTAATGTTTTGACATTATTTCTTCTGATTCATGCGGTTATTTTCTCTTCTAGTAAGTTTCAAGGATGTGAACATTTTTAAGGCTTTGGATAATACTGCCAAAATTGCTTTCACTTTATCAATGTGAGGTAAGTTGTGACTGTCCTAAAAAAACCACGAACATCTAAAAATTATCAAATAAGCATGATTGTTTCCAAACTTCTGTGATTTTGGTCTAGCTCTCTAAAAGTCTGTTTGTGAACATGGGAATGGGCATAAAAATGTACAAAACAAATGTTACTTGGAACACTCATTGCCAGCTTTTGATTTTTTCACGTAACTAAAGGATTCATTTTTCATAGTCAGGATCCTATCCAATTCCATTGTGTTCATAATTCTAACTTAATTTAGGCTTAACACATTTTCAATGTGGCACAAGTACAATTGTGCAAAATGCATCAACATATACACTCTGGTTGAAGTCTACCCTTTTGAAAGACTAACTTTTCAATGGCATTTATCCCACAGGCAGTGGAAAATGCCTGTTTAATAGGTAGTCATGGAAATCCACTCTCTGCTCCTCTGGATAAAGATAGGCTGTCAGACATTTACTAATAACTTGTTTCCTGGCAGGAATAGGGGAAAATGTTCTCCTAGTTACGTCTTCCCAGTCTTTTTCATGGCATGGCACCCTTGGAAATTAATGATACTTTTTCTTTATGCTGGAGGAAATAAATGAGGCTGATGTAATCCGTGGTGACGACCTGGAAGCCTGGGGTCACACCAGCCTGTCCTGAGGACTGAGGGATCCATGCTCTAGGGTCCTGTCGTCTGTTCGTGGCACATCGAGGCCAGCTCTGTGTCCAAGGGACTCTGCAGTCATGTATCTTTTGACATTATGAAGGCAAATCTTTCTTCCTTTCTTTCCTATTTTTCAGAGATTGATTGATGAGTTTATTTTGGCTGTGGCGGGTCTTCGTTGCTGTGCGTGCACTTTCTCTAGCTGCGGCGAGCAGGGGCTGCTGTGTGTTGTGGTGTGTGGGCTTCTCGTTGCAGTGGCTTTTCTTGTTGTGGAGCATGAGCTCTAGGAGCACGATCTTCAGTACTGCAGCGCACAGGCTCAGCAGTTGTGGCGCAAGGGGTTAGCTGCTCCCCGGCATGTGGGATCTTCCAGGATCAGGGATTGAACCAGTCTTGTGCATTGCAAGGCAGATTCTTAACCACTGGACCACCAGGGAAGCCTTCTTTCTTATTTTAAAATCTTGTTTCTCCCTCTCTGCGTGTTGGTATATGTGTGTTGATGTGTGCATGTTTAATCTATTACTTACATTGATCACACAAAGATCTTATAACTGGAAACCCCCACCTTAGTAGATATGTAGATGTTTTTCTGCTAATGTTTTGGTGTTACCTCTGCAAAATATGCTCAGCTCCTGTTCCCAAAGTTTTATTTACTTGATTTCTCTCAGCTGGAAGTCATCCTAATTACTGAGTTCTATTAAATACCAGGAAAGTGAAAGTTGCTCAGTCGTGTCTGACTCTTGGAGACCCCATGGACTCTACAGTCCATGGAATTCTCCTGGCCAGAATACGAGTGGATAACCTTTCTCTTCTCCAAGGGATCTTCCCAACCCAGGGATCAAACCCAGGTCTCCCGCACTGCAGGCAGATTGTTTACCAACTGAGCCACAAGGGAAGCCGAGGCACTTTGATAAAAAGTAGGGATAGAGGAATGGTCAGGAGAAGGCAATGGCACCCCACTCCAGTACTCTTGCCTGGAAAATCCCATGGATGAAGGAGCCTGGTAGGCTGCGGTCCATGGGGTTGCTAAGAGTCGGATACGACTGAGCGACTTAACTTTCACGTTTCACTTTCATGCATTGGAGAAGGAAATGGCAACCCACTCCAGTGTTCTTGCCTGGAGGATCCCAGGGACGGGGGAGCCTGGTGGGCTGCCATCTATGGGGTCGCACAGAGTCAGACACGACTGAAGTGATTTAGCAGCAGTAGCAGAGTAATGGTCAACACAGCTTGTGACTCTGAGTGTTCACAGTTTGGTGGAGGGGAACACAGGAGTGGAGAGAGAAAACAAGTAGTTGTTAAAGGCGGTTGGTCCAAAGGCCCTGGTCTCCTCCCTGGGGCAGATGGAAAGGCTTCCCAGGAGCTATGACGTTTGAGGTGTAACTTGAAGGATAAATGAAAGTTTGACATCCTAATCAGGAAATAGAGTTTGTACTGGATAGGAGACAGAAATCCATGGTTTTGAGAAATAACTGAGGTGACAGTATGCCTGGAACACCAATTCCAGGCAGCTCCTGTAAGAGAGACAAGGGTCAGTCTAGAGGGGAAGGCAGGGTTTGGTTTTGAGGAAATTTGTCTGCTGCATGAAGAGTTAGGACTTTTCAGATTTGTGTTTTGGAAGCATCACTCAGGCATCTGTGTGGTTGGACTTTTGGGTGGTGGCGAGGTCACCAGGAAGCTGCCACAGTTCTGAAAACAGAAGTGACAAGGGCTTGATCTTGGGCTGGCTGGGTGGGGGTGGATGGAAGAAGGTAGTGGTGACAGAATCCATGGGAATGGCTCCAAGGGTAGAAGAGAAGTCTGTTTGGGCAACTAAGTCAATGATGATGTCATTAGCAAGGGCAGAGAAAGGCTTAACCTCCACCATGTCAGCTCTTCAGATCCAACTTGTTTTTCTAGACCTAATCCAAGGGCCCTTTCTCTTCACGCCTTCTTGCATCCTTGTTTCCTGAGGGGCTGCTGTCTTCCCAGAATAGTTCTGGTAGTCAGCAGTGGACAGTTTGCTCCCTAAGTAGGAGGCTGTTATTTCCTATGTGTTAATTCTGTTTCCTAAACTAGATTGTAGGACTGTCATTCTCAAGCCCCATGTCATGTGCTTGTCTGATATTCATCCCAGCAACTTTCTCAGTGTCGGCCATTTACTAGTGCTGTCTGGAACAGGCAAAGGGGCCTATGCTATGATTGCAAACGAAATTGTAAATAAGCAGTAGATATAAAGTGGGACTTCCCTGGTGACTAAAATTGGGCACTCCCACTGCAGGGGACCCAGGTTCCATCCCTGATCAGGGAATTAGATCCCACATACTGCAGCTAAAGATCCTGTGTGCCACAATGAAGATTAAAGATCCTGTATGCTGCAACTAAGACCTGGTGCAGGCTAAATAAATAAATAGCTTAAAAATAAAATAGAAAGTAAATGTGTGTTGGTTAATACAGGAGTAGAAAGCTCAGAGGGACCTGTGACTTCCTTGTCTAGGGCTCCATGAGACATGATTTAAAAACTTTCAGCTTGGTGGATTGATCATGGGTTTTGGAATTACTTAAGAACTGAGTTCGAATCCCCGATCCATCACTTACTTGCTGGAATAGAGTAAACAAATGAAGAAGCTGCTCCGAGCCTGGCTTTCCCTTCTGTAAAACACAGATAATGACACTTTCATTGCAGATTTATTGTGAGGCCATAGTAAGATAATGCATTTAAAATCTCTGGCACCTCTTAAATGCTAACTAGGTCATAGTTATCACTTCCCTGGTGACTCAGACGGTAAAGCGTCTTGGTTGTTGGTAAGAATAACAAGACCCTTGCTAACTGATCCCTACTGAACTGGTTAATTGTTAGTCTATAGAAACCTACTCATGCTCACGTTAAGAAAAGCTGAGGTTGGGGTGAAGTTATGGGTGAGCTTGGGATTCAGAAGGCACCCAGTCTTGTCTTATGCTCCATCTGCTCCATAAGCCTGCAATCACCTGCCTTTGCATGGAGGCCTATCAATATTTAACGTGTGGGTGTCAGTTGCTGTAAACCGAGCATACCTCAGCACCAACTTGAATTAATTATATGCAGGAGGAGGGAAAATAAAATGCCTTTTTCTCAGAGCCCCAAGTTTCACTGCTACGCTGAAGCCTGGAAACCACAGGGTGAAACTTCTGCTGATGGAGGACCCCGAGAAGAAGCTGACCCAGAAGAGTGACGAGAAACCCCGGAAAGTCCGATTTAAAATCTCATCCTCCTACAGCGGCCGTGTGTTGAAGCAAGTCTTTGAAGATGGGCAGGAATTAGAGTTGCCAAAGGAGGAATACCCTCACAGTTTCCTCCAAGAGTCCCTTGAACCAATGGATGGTGTTTACGGATCTGGGGAAGTCCCGAAGCCCCAACCGTGCTCTCCCAAGCTGACTGCTCAGAGGATCAGTGTGTTTCGAGAGGGTGGTGCCTACACTTTGGCGGGCAGCCAGCCTTTCTTCAATGATTACAAGGCAAATGACCACAAGGTTGGTATTGCCCCTGATGTGTAAGCTTTAAGGACTCAAATGTTAGAGAAACACCTAAAGGTTTCAGTTTGTATCTTGCTTGTGCTTGGGTACCAACCATAGATTTTGTTGTTGTTTAGCCGCTTAGTCATATCTGACTCTTTTGCGACTCCATGGACCGTAGCCCTCCAGTCTCCTCCGTCCATGGAATTCTCCAGGCAAGAACACTGGAGTGGGTTGCCATGCCCTCCTCCAGGGCATCTTCCTGACAAAGGGGTGGAACGCGCGTCTTCTGTACACCTCTCGCATTGCAGGCAGATTCTTTACTGCTGAGCCACCAGGGAAACCCAATCAGCTATAGGTGCACCAAATGCAAAGCCGCTATCAGAATAATATTTCTGGGACAAAAATAACATTCTTGTTGACTACTTGTTGGAAAGTACAAAAAGCGTAGCTGGTATTCAACTTCCATCCAGGGTAACAAATTGTAATTGGGTGTTCAGCTGGGATGTCTTGGTAAGTAAATGAAATAGAGATACAGCGGTTTTCAGGTTGCCAGACTGCTGTTTTAGAAAATTATGCTGCAATGGGTTGTTCTTTTTCCTGGAAGAGTTAAGTGTTTGAAGGTGCTCACTTTACTCCAGCCGATTATTTAACTTACGGTTTATCCATATCTTGCTTTGTTTCTTACCTGCCTCCTGCTGCCTGCTTTTAAAAAATGCGTTTGTTTATTTCTTTTGCCTTTCCATTGCTTGTTAGCAGGAATCCTGGGTAGGTGGAACCCTGGGAAGAAATGGCGAAAAGCAGGTCAGCCAGAGGAAATGTTACATGTGGAAGACATTTGAGCTAATAGTTAGATAGAAACATGTATTTTATCTGTGAATTTCAGTTATTTTCTCCAGTACTAAAGATCATCAAAAGCCCATACATGATTTTCTTTGAAGCTAGAAGAGCCTGGAACATATTCACTGATTTCCACAAACTAATAGGAGGTGTGCATGTTTTCTGCCTGCAGGAGGACTATGAATGCCTTGGGAAAAAAAAGCTTAAGTACAATTATATAATGTACCAGGTTATTAATGAATAGCACACCAGGATATGTTTTCATCTTTAAAGTGTAAAATTCAGGTCATTACTCTCTAATCATTTATATTGTTCTTTTCCTAAGGGAACAGGTTATATAGCGATAGCAGACAAATGTACTGGCCTTGTTGGCATTAGTAAAAGTTTAATTATGAGCATGTCCACACTTATCAAAGATAATACCAGGTTTCTTATTGATATTCAAGGGGACTGGAATGAACAATTCTTTTTGTTAGTGGAGTGACTTCTGCGTTAGAGGCACTTCTGCATTAAAATCACATTATACCTCATTGGGTCTTCTCCACAACCTTGAGGAGAAAGGTTGTGAAAAATGTAGAGTCATTTCCATTTTACAAAAGAGGAAAATTGAGTTCCAGGTTGTAAAGGGACTTACCAATATTACAGAGTCTTTAGGTACAGAGTTAGAATAAGATTTTAGGTCTTCTAATTCCCTATGTTCTTGGCCCTCTGGAATGTTCTTTTTAAGAGAATAAGACCATTAATAATAGTGATGATAATGATTATAATAGTAACCATCTTTCAAGTGATTTTTATGTCCTGGGTACTTGGTTATGTCTTGTACTTACAGTACCTCTTTTCAACCATGTCTCATTTGTAGCTTTAGAATTTATAAAGTCATAGTTTATGCAAACCTTGCACAAGTCCATGGTTTATAGTATTGGACTGCTTGACCTTCATCAGTCATGTGTCCCACTTGGCATTTATGTAAAGGTATGGTTAGGCATGGACTTAATAAAACCAGATACCTCGTACTGGCAGCACTGTACAGTGGTTTTAAACACAGTACTCTCTAGACCAGTTTCAGGGTTTGATTTCTGCCTGTTCTGGTTATCCTTGGTTTCTTTGTGGCATGAACAAATGCCGCATCCAGCTGCTAGCCAGTCTCTGGGTGTGAGAGAGGTCAGGTTGGATTCTTGCAGCTCCACCCACTGAAATAGGTTGTCAATGCAGTGCTTGGGGAAAATAAGGAAATTATAGCTGGGAAGTCACGATTTTTCAATAGTGAATCCAACTGTGAAATAACCCTTAGTAAATATTGGCTTTGCAGCAACATTGGGTAGCAGTTAAGCACAGCAATTAAAAAGAAGGGCTCTGAACTTGAACAGATATTTATATACCAGTGTTCATAGCAGCCCAATTGCCCACAGGTGGAAGCAAATATCAATTAATAGATGAATGAACAAACAAAACGTGGTATATACATACAATAGAATATTATTCAGCTTTAAAAGGAAGGAAATCTTAATACATGCTACAACATGGATGGATCTTAAAGACATTATACTAAGTGAAGTAAACTGGTCATAAAAAGATAATTGTACAATTCCACTTGTATGAGGTACTAGCACTGCCAAATTTGTAAGACAGAAAGTAGAATGGTGCTTGCCATGGGCTAGGGAGGGCAGAAGGTGGAGTTTAAAGAGTACAGAGTTTCAGTTTGGAAATGAGAAAAAGTTCTGGACATGGGTGGTGGAGATGGCTGCACAACAATATAAAAGTGTTGATGTCCCTGGGTTGTACCTTATAAAAGGTTAAAGTGGTAAATTTTATGTTATGTGTATTTTATCATAATAAAAATCATAAAAAGCAAGGCTCTGATGTTAGTTAAACTGGACTTGATGTCCGTCCAGCCCACTTACTCTGTGAGCTTGGGCAAGCCACTTAACCTTATGATAATAAAAGTACATGCTTGCAAAGATTATTGTGATGATTAAAAGTATAAAAGACATGAAAGTACTCAGCACTGTGCCTGGCACACATTGTTTATGTTTAGTATGTGTTACCTACCACTGTGATAATGACCAGGTTCTTATTAAGGAAATATTGAGGCTTTTAAAATTTAATGTGATGGATAGAGAAAATCTTATAAACAGATATTTTAAGGATTTGAAACTGACTGAAGTACATGTATGTGTGCATGCTTAGTCATGTCTAACCCTGTGATGCCATGGACTCTAGCCCACCAGGCTCCTCTGTCCATGGGATTTCCCAGGCAAGAGTACTGAAGTGGGTTGTCATTTCCTCCTCCAGGAGATCTTCCTGACCCAGGGATCGAACCTATGTCTCCTACGACTCCTGCATTGGCAGGTGATTCTTTACCACTGAGCATTTTACCCTAAGTATAAGGGTCATTAAAAAAAGATGAAAGGGAGGGACTTCCCTGTGAACCAGGGGCTAAGACTTCCTGCTCCCAATGCAGGGGGCTGGGATTCCATCTCTGGTCAAGGAACTAGATTCTGCATGCTGCAACTAAAGATCTTGCATGCTACAATTAAGACCTAGAGCAGCCAAAAAAGCAGTGGTTGGGGTGGAGGGTGGGGAGGAGGAAGGAAAGTAACACTTATTGAACAAGAACTTTCTGTACTGTTATGCAATTTCATTCTCACAATAATTTTGGGAGGAAGAGTTTAACAAATGGAAAAACAGAAGTTCATGGGGGTTAAATAACTTACAGACTTCACACAGTTGTCAAATAGAATTTGAACTCAGATCTGTCCACCTCCAAAGCACACTGAGTTTCTAGTCCCAAGACATGTCTGCATTTAAACACAGAGCAGTGGAAGGTTGCATGCTCCCTGAATGGCAATCCCAGTCCCATTTTTTTTTTACGTCAGAGTATTTATGAATACTTAATCTTATATAAATTGCCATTCCGGGATTATGGAATAAAACAAAAATGTCCTGGCTCCATCCTGGCCCTCTATAATGTAAGAGAGTGTGTTCCTCACAGGCACTTGAGCGTAACTGGATAATGTGAACTTTAGTTACACCCAGAGAGTTTCTTTAGATGCAAAGAACTTGGCTGTCAGGGTAACTGAAACTTAAACACGCTTTAAAGGTGATTTGGGATCCTCCATCTTGGGAGTATATTAAAAATAAATTTACTATCCTGGGTGTCTCAGATGTTGTCCAGCTGAGAGACAGGAGGTTGGGCCAGATGAGTGAAGTTTGTTTTTTTCATATGTTAAGACTTTTGGAAAACCAGCCTTTTGTATAAAAAAAGCTTCCAAGTAACTGAACCTCTTCAGCTATTATTGGAAATAGAAATGGAACCTTCCAAAGGTACTACCATCTTTATCTTCTGATGCTCAGAAACTGATAGTCCAGAGTGTGAAACAGGAACCCAGCCTGCATCAAACAATAGGAAATGGAAGCTGCCACATGATCCCTTGACAAGCGGGAGAGGATACAGGGCCAGGTAGGAAGCTTGTGGCTTCATTAATAATTGTTGAAAACTCTGTGGGTGTTTCAAGGAAGGGGACCTCAAGACTGAAGCCCTGCTCAAGCCAGGTTGTGACTGAATTCATGAGGGCTAAATAGGAGACTGCTTAACTGTGGCATCTAAACAGATTTGTTTTTTAAAGTTCTGTAAAGGCAGGGCAAAACATTTCATGCTGGGGAATGTAGCTGTGTAGCATGATTAATACTAACTGCAGTAAAAACACTCATCATTTGCATAGTGTCTTCAGCTTTTGCACACTCTGTCTAACATATTTTTCATTGCGCCCTCACCCTTAGACGTTGATATAATTAGCCTCAGGGATGAGAGTTAAAACATTTAACCACAGGAACATTGAGGTCAGCACAGAAGTCAGGGGAGTGTTGGGGCAGGGTCCTGATACCTGGGATCCTGAGCATTAATGTCTACACCACTGGGTTTAGGGGTGTGAGAGGCTCTCTCAGGAAATGAGTTTGAGAAACAGGAGGGTGCTCAGGAGTCTCAGGACAGCACCTGATGATCAGCTAGTAAGGAAATGCTTGTATGTTTCAGTCCCTACTTTGTGGTGGTGCCCACCATTTGGCTGTCGGCCCATTTGCATGAGAATACTGAGGTCCTGAGAGACCAAACGGCTCTCCTGTATCTCACGATTGGCGGACAGCGGGATTGGGATACAGTGTTGTATCCCCTCTAGGCTATCTGTGAAGAAGTGTGTGTTCTTAGTTCACTGATGTCTAAGCACTTCCTGCCCAGACTCCTCTACTGCCCTGTAAAATTGTCCAAGTTGTTTCTCAGCAAATGATGAAGTAACACATGATAAATCTATACAAGGGAGCATAAGCTATTAATAATGATGCTGCAGGCTTCCGGGTGGTGCAGTTGATAAAGAATGCTCCTGCCAATGTAGGAGGTGGAAGAGATGCAGGTTCAGTCCCTGGGTCAAGAATATTCTGTGGAGAGGGAAATGGCAACCCACTCCAGTATTCTTGCCTGAGAAATCCCATGGAGAGAGGAGCCTGGTGGGCTACAGTCCATGGGATCACAGAGAATTGGACACGACCGAGCACGTACACACAGTATTTTTATTGACATAAAAATGTTTATCATATATGAATAATGAATACACACACAACATATATACGTATAATCTTACTTGGTTGAGGGGATGTTTGTGAATAGTATAGTGTAGGTGCTAAGAATATGGACCTTAGAGTGAGACAGACTTGAATTTAAATTCCAGCCACAAACCCTGAATAACTCTGCAACTTTGGAAGGCTCTTAACCTCACTGAGCCTCAGTCTCTTCTTCCGTTAAATGTACAGAAATCGTTGCATCAACATCATACGGATGTTTGGGAGGGAAGTGAGGTAATGTTTGTAAAATGCTTAGCATGACGCCTGATGTTCAGTAAATGCTGTCCACTATAATAATAGTAGATTCAATAAATTGTCTCTACTATTATTACTTATAGGACTTCCCAGGTGGCTTAGACAGTAAAGAAACTGTCTGCAGTGCAGGAGACCCAGTTTCAATCCCTTGTCGGGAAGATCCGCTGGAGAAGGGAATGGCAAGCCACTCCAACATTCTTGCCTGGAGAATTTCATGGACAGAGGAGCCTGGTGGGCTACAATCCATGGGATTGCAAAGAGTCGGACATGACTGAGTGGCTAACACACACATTATTACTTATGCATAAAATTTTGGAGAGAGATTTATTTTTTTAAAAAATTCAATGTATTGATTTCTCACAATCAAATACTGCCAGCTAGCAGTACTTCCACTCATGGCTCATTAAAAACAAAAGGATATTTCCTTGGTATTTTCAAATGATGTATTATACAATAACCAAAAAAATTTGAACTTAAAATGTATCCCTAATTAATTACATAAGCCAGCAAATTTTTTAAGAAGCATAACTAATAATTTGGTTTCTGAGAGATTTATTTTTTAAAAGCATTCCTATATATGCATAAATCTCTCACTCTGCCCAGCCCTGCACCAGCTCCCATGGTATGTAGTAGGAATAGAAGCTCAGGACCTTGTCCTGCAGAACCCTACATTGTAGTCATGTGATTAGTTCAGCTTTGATTGGTTACCATCAACAGGAAATAAGAAGCTGGCAATCAGGGTTTTCAGACAGAACAGAGAATCTAGGGAATGAATTGTAGTTTGGGGTTGTGATGGGACCCCAAGTGCTGGATGGATGGTGTATCTCTTTCCTGGGATGTTGCAGGGGTTCTTCAGCCCTGTATTTGGTGACTGGGGCATCACCAAGCTCATTCTTCATGTCTCTAGTCCCCACCTATTATAGATTTTGGAAAGATAATCATCTACACGAATAACCTGAAAATCATTCGAACTCCAATGGACAAGAGAGATTTCATGAGGAAAATGTTCCAAAAGGAAGAGGAGGCCGAGGAAGAGACTCTGATGAGCAAAGAAGAAATCTATGCACACCAGAACAATGGTCCTTTGCCAGAGACGGAAGGCACCTTCCCCCATAACCAGTACCCACAGGTGTGTCTCCACAGTCCACTGCTTTGTGCAGGGCTGGCCCTATAGCCCTGGTCTCCAAGTTGTTTTGATTGTGCACTCTTTAATGTATGGTTGAATATGAATACCTAAGATGTCTAAATGTTAATAATATTGAGGAATTTTAACTTTCTTTTATTTTAGTGTTTTATCATATTTTATTGTCAGCAATAGTAGTTACAAGTCCATATTGCAAATACAATTTGAATTATTTTGAATGATTTCTTTAAAGATCTGATTAGGTATATATTGTTTTCACTTTGCAGTGTGGCTTAGGGCAGCCTGTTCTAGACATGGAAGAAAAAATTACCTCTGTCCTTTTCTTATGGGTTTGCTTGTGCTTCTTTTATTGGTTAATACTCAACCCACAGTTTCCCTGAAGAAATCTAACAAAGCTACTTGTCTTTAGATTTCATGGAGATTCAGTTCAGTTCAGTTGCTGAGTTGTGTCCAACTCTTTGTGACCCCATGGACTGCAGCACACCAGGCTTCCCTGTCCATCACCAGCTCCCGGAGTTTGCTCAAACTCACGTCCATCAAGTCGGAGATGCCATCCAACCATCTCATCCTCTGTTGTCCCCTTCTCCTCCTGCCTTCAATCCTTCACAGCATCAGGGTCTTTCCCAAGGAGTCAGTTCTTTGCATCAGGTGGCCAAGTATTGGAGTTTCAGCTTTAGCATCAGTCCTTCCAATGAATAATCAGGACTGATTTCCTTTAAGATTGACTGGTTTGGTCTCCTTGCAGTCCAAGGGACACTCAAGAGTCTTCTCCAATACCACAGTTCAAAAGCATCAATTCTTCAGTGCTCAGCTTTCTTTATAGTCCAACTCTCACATTCATACATGACTACTGGAAAAACCATAGCTTTGACAAGGCAGAGCTTTGTTGGCAAAGTAATGTCTCTGCTTTATAATATGCTGTCTAGGTTGGTCATAGCTTTTCTTCCAAGGAGCAAGCGTCTTTTAATTTCAAGGCTGAAGTCACCATCTGCAGTGATTTTGGAGCCCAAGAACATAAAGTCTCTCATTGTTTCCCCATCTATTTGCCATGAAGTGATGGGACCGGATACCATGATCTTAGTTTTTGAATGTTGAGTTTTAAGCCAACTTTTTCACTCTCCTCTTTCACTTTCATCAAAGGGCTCTTTAGTTCTTCTTTGCTTTCTGCCATAAGGGTGGTGTCATTTGCATATCTGAGGTGATTGATATTTCTCCCGGCAATCTTGATTCCAGCTTGTGCTTCATCCAGCCCGGTGTTTCTCATGATGTACTCTGCATATACGTTAAATAAGCAGGGTGGTAATATACAGCCTTGATGTACTCCTTTCCCAATTTGGAACTGGTTCATTGTTTCATGAATTTCATAACTGTTGCTTCTTGACCTGCATACAGATTTCTCAGGAGGTAGGTTAGGTGCTCTGGTATTCCCATCTCTGGAAGAATTTTCCACAATTTATTGTGATCCACATAGTCAAAGGCTTAGGTGTAGTCAATAAAGCAGAAGTAGATGTTTTTCTGGAAGTCTCTTGCTTTTTTGATGATCCAATGGATGTTGGCAATTTGATTTCCGATTCCTCTGCCTTTTCTAAATCCAACTTGAACATCTGGAAGTTCACAATTCATGTACTATTGAAGCCTGGCATGGAGAATTTTGAGCATTACTTTAGTAGCATGTGAGATGAGTGCAATTTTGCAGTACTTTGAACATTCTTTGGCATTGCCTTTCTTTGGGATTGGAATGAAAACTGACCTTTTCCAGTCCTGTGGCCACTAATGTGGCCACTGTTTTCCAAATTTGTTGGCATATTGAGTGCAGCACTTCACAGCATCATCTTTTAGGATTTGAAATAGCTCAACCGGAATTCCATCACCTCCACTAGCTTTGTTCGTAGTGATGCTTCCTAAGCCCACTTGACTTCACATTCCAGGATGTCTGGCTCTAGGTGAGTGATCACACAATCATGATTATCTGGGTCATGAAGATCTTTTTTGTACAGTTCTTCTGTGTATTCTTGTCACCTCTTCTTAATATCTTCTGCTTCTGTTAGGTCCATACCATTTCTGTCCTTTAATATGCCCATCTTTGCATGAAATGCTCCTTTGGGATCTCTAATTTTCTTGAAGAGATCTCTAGTCTTTTCCATTCTCTTGTTTTCCTCTATTTCTTTGCATAGATCACTGAAAAAAGTTTTCTTATCTCTCCTTGCTGTTCTTTGGAACTCTGTGTTCAAATGGGTATGTCTTTCCTTTTCTCCTTTGCCTTTAGCTTCTCTTCTTTTCTCAGCTATTTGTAAGACCTCCTCAGACAACCATTCTGCCTTTTTGCATTTCTTTTTCTTGGGGATAGTCTTGATCACTGCCTCCTGTACAAAAATCACAAACCTCTATCCACAGTTCTTCAGGTACCCTGCCATGGAGATTAGTTTAGTTAACTCTAAGCAATAACATCTATAAGTCCATTAGACCAGATATTTGTGAACCACAACATGTTGTAACATGCTGAAAGTGAGTGAAAGAGCAGGGTTGTCACTGTCACTTTATGTGAAGTGAGAGAATCTATATTATGCATGCAACAGGGTCTCTTGGGTGCTACCTTTGTTAAGTTAAACCCAACCTAGTGAAGGTGCTGATGTCACCTTATTTGTTAAAAGTGGATGTCACATTTTCTTCTGAAAATATTATTAAAGCTTCTTATATTCTTTTCAAAAGGTGAGATAAAAATAGTTCAAAGGTGACACCTTTCAACGGTGTGCACTCCTTCGAAGCCCTTGCTTAGACATGCTCAGACGAGCAGGAAGGTGATGACATTCAGGAGTTCACAGTGTGAACTTGAGAGTGGGAAAAGCAATTTTGGTGAATGTAAGCAAAGAGCATAAAAGCTTATAAAACAGCGGAAATGAATTTTCCCTCTTTAGAGTCCATCTCTTGGAACTTGAAGCTGAACCTCCCATGGGTTAGCATGACAAAATGGGCCAGGGGCTCCCTCACGCTTGAGTGATGTCCCCACCCTGGGAGGGTTTAGGGGACAGGAAGGAGAAGGCCATGCCCAGACTCCAGTTCTGCTTACAACCATTCCTGTCTCTTTCAGACCTGACCTCATACTTGACAAGATATATTTGAAATGCAAATATGATCATGTGGCCCCCTTCCTCACCCTTTTCCCCCACCCAAAACTTTCAGTGGCCACTCATCACTTGGGATAAAGCTGAAACTCCTCACTAGTTCTAGAACGCACTGTGGACTTGCCTTCTTCAGCCTCATGACTTAAACAGATCTCTACTCATTTTCTGGGCCCCAGACCCACTGCCCATCTGCTTACCCCTCAGAGGCTCTTTGTTCTTTCCTACCAGAGCCTATTTCCTTGTTCCTGGAATATTCTCCGGACTCCCTACCTCCTTGCCCACAGCCCCTTGAGATCTCGGTGGAGGCATCACTTCCTCAGAGAGACTTCTCCTGGCTTCTCTGAGGATAAAACTCCACAAGGATGGACTCCTCAAGTCCCCGTCTTCCCTGCCCCCACATTTGTAATCTTACATTTATTTGTGCGATTGTTTGGTTAATGCTTGCTCTTACTAGGATTTGGTCTCTGTGAGGGCAGGGAGAATGCTTATGTCAGGTGTGACATAGTAGTTCCAATGCCCCCCCCCCAAAAAAAAAAAATAGAGCCTGGCATCTAATTAGGTGCTCAGTAAATAGTAGGTAAGTATTTCTGGAATGTGGAGCCAAGTGCCAAATGATAAGAAATATTCTTCCTTCTCTTGTCTTCTCTATAGTACTATTCAGAACCTAGCCTAGTAGAAAGGTAGACAGCTAAACTTTGTGATACGAAGCATCACCATCCCACTTTGAAATTCATTAATTCTATTCTTTTTCCATACCATATTGTAACTTGTAAGAGCATGTATTTTCAGAGGAGGACCAGAAATGCAGGTCACACTGCAGGCCTGAATGAAAAAGCAACAACAGGCCTGCCATGACAATTATGTTTAAATTCAATCTGGAGAGAACTATGGTTGTTTTTTTTTTTTTTTTTTGGCTCTAATGCCATAAACTAGGACAGAGATGTGTAGCAAAAAGTTCCCATGAAAGGTTGCACTTCACTTGCCTGTCCTCTAAGCTCTGTTTTAAATTGTTATTTGTTTGCCCCATCTCTCATGCAGTAAATGCCCAGACAACTTTTATTCTAAAACACAGGGTCAGAGAACATCAAGGAGCCCATTCTGACCAAGAGACTCTTTGTTGTATTATATGGAACAGGGAGACAGTAGGGTCTTCCTTGATGAAAGAGCAGGGCCAGGCTAAAAGCCAGGCTAAACTTGAACCTCTACATTAACTACAAAAGGAGAGGAGAGGAATAATTGAATTGAGCCACAGGGAAAAGTAGAAGAGGAAAAATCTGGCCTTGTAATCAGCGGGTTTGAACAATAAGTTATGTGAGCTTCTTTATGCTTCATGTGATCTTACCCTTGAAACAAAATGATAATAATAATAGCTGCCATTTTAATACAAGTTTTTAAATAATTTTAAAATTTATTAATTTATTTTTGACTGTCTGTGTCTTCATTGCTTTGTGTGGGCTTTAGCTGAAACAAGCAGGGGCTGCTCTTCCCTGTGATGCTCAAACTTCTCAGTGCAGCGGCTTCTCTTGTTGCAGAGCACAGGCTCTAGGCACACAGGCTTCAGTAGTTGCAGCTCTCAGGCTCTGGAGTGCAGGCTCAGTGCTTATGGCTCACGGGCTCTGAAGCTCAGGCTGGGTAGTTGTGGCAAACAGGATCACTTCCTCTGTGGCACGTGGAATATTCCTAGACCAGGAATTGAACCTGCGCCCCCTTGCACTGATAGGCAGATTCTTATCCACTGCATCACCAGGGAAGTCCTGACATTTTTTGAGGGTTCACGTTAGCCAGGCATCATGCCCGTGCAATAGTCCATTTCATTCTCGTAAGGACTCTGTTTGGTAGTTATTATCTGTAGTCTCATTCTGC